GCTACTCACAGAAATAATCCAGGAGAATTTTCCTAATTTAGCAAAAGGTAAAGATACTCAGATGTATGAGGCATACAGGACCCCAGCTACCTACAACCCTAACAGAGAAACACCCAGGCATATAATAATAAAAATTTGAGAAATTCAATACAAGAACAGAATATTAAAAGCTGTAAGAGACAAGAAACAGACCACTTACAAGGGAACACCCATCAGAATTACAGCAGATTTCTCTGCACAAACCATCAAATCACGAAGAGCATGGGGGGAAATAATTCAAGCTTTGAAAGATAATAATCTCCAGCCAAGATTGAGATATCCTGCACAACTGTCCCTGGAAATTGATGGAAAAATGAGGTGCTTCCAGGATAAAGAGGAACTGGGGGAATTTGCAACCACCAACTCAACCCTACAGAAAGTATTGCAGGATATTCTAAAAAAAGAAAAATACAAAGAACCCAGAAATAGTGGCGGGGAGGCCACAACGAATGGAGCAGAGAACAAAATGAAGAAGACAAACTGACAGCTACTGACAGAAAAAGAGCTCAACAGAAATGAGACAGAGAAGATTGGATGATAGGAACAGCTATTTTGGAGAAAATGACATCTTAATAGGTAATACTGATTTAGTATCATGTTTTGAAGTCTCATCTAGCTTTTGTTCTTCTGTCTCCAATGGTCTAAACAGGTTGTATCTTATTGGATTTTATTATGTACGATAGTATAAGCAAAAACCTTTTAAAGACAAGGAGAATATACAGAAACCATTGTTCATTTTCTGTTAGTCGATTCTAAATACTCTATAATGCTGTCATTCTCTTAAATGGTTTTACATTGTTTTGATATACTTAATGCTACAGTATATGAAGTTGTACTCAAGGATTTCAAGGAAAGAGACAATATGGTAACTACTTTTAGGTCAGGATTATCTGGTGGTGAAGCACTATTCTGCTTAAATGGTTATGTTTTGATCTGCGCTGTTTTGCTGTTATGCCCTCTTTTATCTCAATCTCCACTCCATTATTTACTTTTTTATTTTTATCCGTTTAATTAAAGGGAAAAAATAGCAGGATATAATATAGTAACCCACTTTGACTTTCTATTATCTCGATTTGAAGCCCTGTATTATTCTCACCATCTTGTTTTTGACTGAGGTTCCTCTATTCTGTTTTGCTGGATAGTATCAGGTTCGAAAGTTTAGGCATCAGCTGAGAAGATAACGAGATTCATTATAACGCCCATTCTCGTTGACTTTTATCTACTTTTGAAGACCTACAATGTCTCCAATGTTTTGGTTTTGTCGGTTTTGTTCTTTACTGTTTTGTTCAATTGTATTACAACTAATGATATAGGCAATTCTATTAGAGATAGCGGGAGGCATTATGGTAACCATTGTTGATCACCTTGTATTATGTTTTTATATTATCTATTATGTCCACCCTTTTGACTTGACCGATTCTGTTCTGTTATGTCACATTTCGTTTTACTCTCTTCCAAAAAAGCAATAAGAACCGTGGGAGCAATGAAGCCCAAAATGTGTAATAGTCATTGTACAAAAGAGAGGAAAAGAAAGTGCTCTAAACTATATAACTGCATGTATATTTAAGTGTATAAGATAGAAAATGATATCACAGAGTTTTATTGGATCATTGAACAGAACTGTTTGCAGTATCATTGTTGGAATGTCCACTCTACAAGCTTTAATTTTGTGACTTGAACAATTATTTCTAAGATGGCAATATGTAATCCATTAACTAGTGATTTCCTACTGCGCATTTTTTTCTTCTGTAAATCTGTATAACTTGTACCCCTTCACTGTTTTTTTTTCTTTTCTCCTTAAATAAAAAAAAAATAAATTAAAAAAAAAAAGAAACTATTTTATGGTATTTGTTAAGACTTGCTTTTTGGCCTAAAATATGTTCTATTTTGGAGAAATATGATCTATTTTCACAAGTTGTTGAAAAAATGTGTATTTTGTTTTGAGATGGAATGTTCTATGGACATTTTTTAAGTCCATTTGATCTGTAGTGTAGTTTAACTCTGATGTATCTTCATTGATTGGTTGGAGTGGATTATCAAACTTACCAACTAGTCGTGTATTGGAACCTATGCATCCCTTTGTATTGAGAAGTGAATGAGGTGATACTTGGTACATATGTTTCACAGTTATGTCTTCTTAGTGGATTGTTCCATTTACTAATATGTAATGGTCTTCTTTGTCTCTTCTAATTTTGAAGTCTGCTTTATTAGATATGAGTATAGTAATCCTTCTTGTTTTTGGATTCCCTCGTGTAGAATATTGTTTTCCATCCTTTCAATTTCTATCTGTATGTGTTTTTTAGGGAAATGTATTTCCTACAGTCACAGAAGAGTTGGGTTTTGTCTTTAAATCCAACTTGCCAGTCTGTTGCTTTTAATTGGAGAATTTAGACCATTTAGCTTGGCATGGAAGGAAGCACACCCCTATAATCCCTGCATTTGGGAAACAGAGAGTGAGGATTGCCTATTTGGTGTCAGCCTAGGATACATAGCAAGAGCCTGTCTTGAAAAAAAATCATTTATTTTCAAAATTATTATAGAAAGGCACTCACTACTGTCATTTGTTGTTGTGGGAGTTTTTTATGTTTGCTTCTTTGTTAATTCTCAATAGCTGTTCTTCATACTTTGAGTGGAGGATTACCTTATCTTCTACAGCGCTGGCTCAGTGGTCATGAATGTCTTTAGTTTATGGCTATCTTGATAAGTCTTTATTTCTCCTTTGATTTTGAAGGGTAGCTTTCCTGAATATAGTCATCTAAGTTGACAGTTATTTTCTTTCAGGGCTTGAAATACGTGCTCTCCTGGCCTTAGGGCTTCTGCAGAGAAATCTGTAGTTGCTCAGATGAGTTGGCCTGTACAGGTGACTGGCTGTCTATCTCTTGTAGCTTTTAGTATTCTTTCCTAAGTCTCCTGTACCTGGATGTCCATGCCTTTCCCATGACTAGGGAAATTTTTGTTATTATTTCATTTAGGAATTCTGTGTTTCTTTAGTTTGTACCATGATGCTCTATTCTACACCAAAATTTATATGTTTGGTCTTTGAACCTTGTGTCAAGTTCTTAGATGTTTTATTCATAGTGTCTTTCCCCCCCCCCCCCGCCATTAGTATCTGAGTGTTAATTGATCAGCTTTACCCTCAAGTCCTGAAACTCTGTCTTCTACTCGATTCTTTTGATAAGGCTTTGCACTGAGATTTTGATATGACTTATTATACTTTTCATTTCCAAGGCATCTTTGACTCTTTGTTATAATCTTTCTCTTTGTTGAATTGCTTCTTCATATACTGAACTATCTTCATTCATTCAGCTGTTCATTTGTATTCTATTTGAAGTCACTGATCATTTTAAAAACCCAGTCTAGAATTTGTGTCCAGCCTTTCATCCATTTGGCTGTCTTTGCATTTAGTTACTGCTGAGTTGTGGACCTTTGGAGGAGTCATGTTGCTTTGTTGCATCATATTCTTGTTCCTGTGTTGAGATTTGTGCATCTGTTGGGATGGATTGTGGTTTTCTCTTTAAGACATGGAATATTCTGTAGTAGTCTTCATTTGGCCAATAGGCCTTTGTAGGGAGGAAAAATATCTTTCTCACTCAGCATAAGGTTCAAGGCTAAGGCTCTTGTATGAAAAAAGATTAACAAGAGAAAAGTGGATAGATTTATTTAGTAGTTTCATATGTTATAGGAGCCTTCAGAAATGAAAACTGGAGGAAACTATAAAGTCTGCGTGTCTGTCTAAGAAGTCTGATTGGCATGATTAGACGAAGAGGGTGTTTTGGAATGTGCATGCCACGCATACGTGCCTGTGTACCCGTGGTCAGAGACGAAGCTTCTTGTCTTCTGAGTCAGGGAAGGTGCCCGCCAGTGATGGTCTCTGCTCGGTTCAGAGGAGAAACTCCGAGGCAGAGCACAGCCTGCCTAGTTTCCTCATACAGAGTTGCTAGGTTTGGGGGTAGCATGTCCTTAACTCCCCCATTTCCTTTTCAAAAGATTGTCAAAACTGTTTATACATGAAATTTCGATCACTTCTCTTACTTCCTTATTCCAAAATTAGAATGTATACAAAGTGTATGATACTATTGTTTGATTTTTATTAGGTTTGATTGAACATTCTTATTTGTCTCTGGTGTAACATAAGTTGGCTACTAGAAGGGTAATTCATATTTAGATAGCTTCTTTAATCTTTAATTAGTAAGCTTTTAAAATGTTGTTTCTACTTTAGTAGATAATATGTTCGCTTTCAGATCTCATTATAAATGTTGCTTTTTCTGTTTCAACTCTTTTAAAGATTTAGGTAAAGTTTTGAGATAGACATAATGTTTAGGAAAAATTATGCATTATGTTATAAAAATCTGTATTAAATTAATAATCATATTTTTTTAAATTTTCTGAGTTCCAATGGAAGATTTGGGGAAGCAGAATGTGCATTTACTTTCTTCCTAAGGTTGGCTTAAATCTGACATCCTTTTTGTGATCTTTTTATGTTGCCTCTGCCTTTAGACAGGTTTATAGTCTATTCCTCTCACACTAATCTATTTGAAAAGGACAGCTGAGTGTGGTGGCACATGAATGTGATCATAGCTACTTGGGAGACTGAGGCAAGAGGCGCACAAGATCCTGTCTTAAAATTAAATTTTAAAAAGTTCCCCCCAAGAATATTCAGTATTTTTTTTCAATTAGCAAATGATTCCATTTTATAACAGTAAACATAATGATATCATTTTGACAAGTAATTTAAATTATATCTGGGGTAAATCAGATTTTTGGAGCTTGTTTACCTTGTTCGCATGGTAGCTGACTTTACTATCACTTTAATGACATTTTTTATTGGCCTTTGAGAGAGTCCATGTTATTTCAAGATATTAAACACAACTAATTTAAAGTATTCTATGCGTGAAACAGTTTTAGGAAAATCAAATATAATGGTGTCATTGAATTCTGAAAAGCGCTTTTTTCTCCCCCAGGGTCCTGGAATAGGAAATGCTTCCCTCTCTACTTTTGGTTTTGTGGGAGCTGCACTTGAAATCATTTTGATTTTGTATCCTTTCTTTGACTGAATGTGCTGTCTGTTAACAAGTTTTCTGTGTAGTTTCTGGGACAGTGCTAATTTACTAAGACACTTGTCTAGAAGAAAAAACAAGTCAGTCTTCTTCAAGCACTCAGAGTGGCTTTTTGTTTTGTTTTGTTTTCCCTGTGGGCCCTAAGACTTTTGGGAGGCTGCTGAGAATCTATGGAAACTTGCATTCTTTTGGAGAGTTTTTCCTTCATTCTCACAGCTATCTTATGGTGTCTTCCGTTGTTGGTTTCTATAGCCTTCGATTTTTTGGAAACTTTACACCTAAGAAGGATGACACAACCATGACAAAGGTAAGGTAAAGTCTTAGGTGACTGAGGCCTCACTTTTTGCCTTCCAAGACAAATGGACTGTTTTATTTAATAATTCCCCTGAATGGTTCATCTGTTGTGATAGATATTTGTTTGTAAGTTGCATAAACACAAACTGCAAGATTTTCAAAATGCGGAATGAGTGGGAAAAGGATGTGCTCTGTTTAATTTGGATGGCGTCCATTCACTTGTAAATGCATAGAACTGCAGAGCTTGTTAACTAGCTGTAGAAGCCTCCTGAAAGGACTCTTTTTTTCCTCCAAAGAAAACGTATTGCTAATGAGTAACTTTGATTGTACTAACTGTACTTCAGGAGCTTGTTTGAAATCTGAAGAACTTAGTTGCTACAAGTAGTAGAGACAAAGTATTTCAAATTTAAATAATTAAAGTAAGACAGAGAGCTCTATTCAGAAACTTTGCTGTCTGGGGCTAATTTGACTTCCTACACTGTGTTCATTGGCTTTAGAATGGCACAGGCTGTTATCTTATATAGTGACTGAACCTTTGTAAAATATTCCCACAGGCTGACAAAAAGCCGCTGTTTAAAAAAAATTGTACATTCCATATTTTCAGCTTATTTACAGGGGAGATATTTTATATATATATATTTATATTTATATATACAAATATACAATGCTTTGACTTCTTTGAAGTCATTGCAAGGTATTAATATCTGGTTTAAGCAATTATACATAGTAATATTTTCAGCTCCTGCTATTTAATGTGAAAGAGTAAGTATAGGATACATTGAAAAAGAATTATAGAGTTTAGATGTTTAGATTTCCAGCATTTCTTAATTAAATCTTACAATAGTTAAACATAGTAGAAGTAGATATTTTATGAGAACTTTTAACCAATAATTAGACTTTAAAAATAGAGTATTAAGTGTAATAATTCTGTTTTACTTGACAGGTAAAACCGTTTGAAGTTGGCAACCATATCAATGTCCAATGTATTATCTACTTATAGGTTAATTTAATATGTAGTCTATAACTTCGTAGACTGTAGTATTTTCTAGAGATCATACATATAACTGTATTTGTAGGAAAAGTGTTTAATTCTTTTAAAATTCTATATTGAACGTTAAGTATCATTAAGAAGTTGGTAGAGGTAGTAACTGTGCTCCACAGTAGCTTTCCAGAATCACGATCACTTTGTGATTATCCACTGTTTCACTGCCCAGGACTCTTCCTGATTTCTCTCCACAGATCATTGGGAATTGTGTGTCAATCTTGGTCTTGAGCTCTGCTCTGCCTGTGATGTCCAGAACACTGGGTAAGCACAAATGAGGCATGTTAACTTAAAATCTCATACTTTAAAGAGGTCTTTTCCAGCCTAACTCTTACCATCTCAACTCCTTCAGAAGATCAACTTGAAAATACAGTGTTTCTTCCCACATCATCCTACATCTTTATTCCTGTACTTCATTTCCATTAGACCCATGCTAACACAAGTACTTTTGTGAAACAAATACCTTTTTTTGTTAACCCTTAAAACATTCCTTCTCTAAATAGACTGGCTTTTGTTTTGTTTATTTGTTTTTTCTACTACATTCACAAGTTAAGCTTTGAAGTCTTCTAGTGAGGAAATTGTGGATTTTTTTTTTAAAAAGTTAGTCTGGAAAATATTGAACTAATTTTTATTATATAACTGTCTCTTTTCAAAGGTAAAATTTTTTGTGTTGTTTTAAAAACTGTAAATCCATAAACTCAGAGGACATCTTTCTGTCCCTCAGTCTCTACCATATGGATTCATACTATTTCCTTCATTATCAGCATGTAGAGATGATTTTGGTCATCTTTTCAGAGTAAGACAGATTCCTACTGTATCACAGGGACAGTTGGGAAAGTATTCATTTGACCTTTTCATCTTGATACAGCGCTGTTATAGACTGTATGTTCAGATCTTGGCTAAAATTTCAGACAAAAATTTCTGTTAGTTCTGCCTGATTCTCTAGACTTAGGCTTTAGCTTAGAAAATGAGTGCTTAGAAGAAAAATGATCTTCTGATTGCATCTCTACAGTTGAGCACCCTTCTCCTGCAGCAGCTGCAGTGCTGTGCCCTTGGGTTGCTCCTGCTTAGGCTTTCCTGTTATCTCTTACTGATTAAGGACTCAGAGCCATCAGGGTGCAGGCTGTGCAAGAAGAGAGAGCTTTGCAGTGATGTGGTTTTCACAAAGAATTTCATGTTTCAATAGAAAGTAGAATTAAAGTTACATTCAAAAGGAACTCTTATTCCACAATCTGACCAAAGCCTCACGTATTGAGTGGTCTTCTTTCAGGTTTGCTCTTTGGGGTTGTTCCTGTTTTGGTACCTGTTATGCTGTGCTAATCTTGAAAATGCCAAAAATATGCACATCAGTAATCTAAATGGAAGCTCAACTTTGTCATATGTGTTACCATAGTCCACCAGACAGTTTGTGCTGAGACAGCTTCTCTGCCATTTTAACACTTAGGAAACTTACTTACCATGCTTTGTTATTTAAGATTAATTGCTAATTGTTAGTATATACTGATTTTATGGCAGAAAATTACATGCTGAACATAGCTTTAATACAAAGAAGACAAATTATGGTAAAATTTACTTTTTGAAGACTGACAAATTAAATTCCTAAGCAGTTTACCATAGAGATAAATAAAAAGAAAGAAAGAAAGAAAGAAAGAAAGAAAGAAAGAAAGAAAGAAAGAAAAAGAAAGAAAGGGAAAGAAAGATGGAACAATTAAAATGCAGCTAACAAATGCCTGGACCCAGCTGTCCAAACAGGATTAATGGAGTGCATTAGGGTACAGTGAGTCATGTGGTGCTTTGCAAAATATCAACACGTACTGCAGTACATGTTATGCCCAGTGGCACTGAATAGATGAAAAGAAATAAATACGTTAAACAGATTCATAGAGGCTTTTCACAGTATTGAAAAAGCAAATTTCTAGTCTAAAGATAAAGCTTTATTTTAGTATTATGGGAAATGCAAACTAGAGAGTTACTTTGTAATTCCTCTATTAACCCTTTGGAATTGAGTCTTTGATTCTAAGAAGGTAAAATGTAGAGAATTGTCGTGAATATTATCTTAGCGTATAGCAGGATTTTGATTTACTAGCTGAAAAGCTTGTAAGCCTGGAATAGAGAATGTGTTTAACAACCAAATTCCAAGCTGTGAAAGTTTTCGCTCTCTTTTCTGCACTTCTCCCAGGGAAATCTGACCTTGGTGTGGTCTCATCTGTTCCTGTGAGATCAGCCACCGCAGCTCATCACTTAGGCAAAGGAAGGCGGTGACGAGAAAAACCATACTTCAACTGCGTGTGCATGCTATCTCTCACTTCAGTGATTTCTTAGTGATGACTGATTTTGACTGTAAATTAAAAATGCTTTCAGTATAATTAATTTGGTGATATTTTTGCTTCAAAAACCAAAATGTTCTGTGACGTTTTTCTTTTTAAAAATTTGCCAACTGCTATTACTGATGCTCCACAGGCACTCTAAGGAATAGCTTTAGGGTTATGTGCATGATGTTATGCAATGCATCTTTAAAGAATTCCTTTTAAATAACTTGTCACCTTTGAGGGTGGAAAATTTTATACTAATTGAAGAATAGCCAGTAAAAATTGTACAAAATATTTCTTACTACAAAGAATTATGTTGCAAAGAATATTTTGACCAAGCATTTTTAGTCAGCTAGCACAAATATATATCAGGTTGTTACTGTTCATGGGAAGCACAGAGCATCTGTTCTTAAAGTTTTTTTTTTTTATCAGAACCCTTTAAAGTAAAGTCATGCCATCATTTGCAACTTGTTTAAGGTTTAGACTTTATTTTGAAGAGTCTACAGATTTGATGTTCATATTTTTAGTAAACAGTTGACTGTTTAATTTACTAGACTCTTAAAGTAATTAGCAGAGATGCCTGCAAATAAGGTAAAAAGAGAACAGAACCAAACTAGTCAGGGGGATATAAATGGATGCCCATTTTGTGGACATAAAATATTTTAAATGTATGTTTTAAATGTTGCAATGAATGTTTAAGGATTTTGTCTGACTGCTAATATTGCTGTTTATTCTGCTTGATCAAGAAAACAATGAGGCATTGCTTTTTTGTTATTCTTTATTTGAAATCTCCTTCAACTAAATGAGATTTTTTTTCAAATGTAAACAGCAGTCTTTGAAATTCGTTTGCTAATCTCTGTTTTAAAGTTATTTTTATAATTGTTTTTTATGAAAGTTTTTTCTGTAGCCTGAGTAAGTTATACAAGGTCCAAATTTAGATTTTTAAAAAGGTGTGTTTATAATATTAAAAATATCCTTTTAAATTAACTGGGCTTTATTTTTAGTATTTCCGCACATTTCTCATTTAGGTCCCATGCAGGCTATCATCTTGCATGAGATGAGATGGATTATTCTCTTTTGTTCCATGATTAAGGGATCTTGCTAAAATGGGTTTTTTTTCTTTTTCTTTTTTTGGAGAGGCCTTTACTTGGGGTTTTGTAAATATACCACTAATCTTTACCCAGGGCTTTCCCTTTCCATTCCTAGTTGTAAAACAAAAATAAATGATGCTTTCACAGATGATTAGCAATGTCAAATGTGCACTAGAAATATAAATCGTATGTTTTCTATTATGATATCTATGTAAAAGTAATTTCATTTTTAAGCAAAAAGTTGTATATGACTTTATATTCAGATGTACTAAAGAAAATAATAACTTTTGATTGAGTGTATATGTCTCATTAGGATTTTTAAGAGTGAAGAATTCTTAAAAGTATTCTGTGCCTCCAATAGTTAGGAGAACCACTAATAATAACTGACTAGAAACTCCTTCCTCGTGTCTATTTGTCTTGTGTTTCTGAAGCTGGACCTGTTTCAGGGAGATGTAAGCCTGCTAAGAAAATGTCATGTTGGTCACATGGATCTAAATTTAACCACCTCTTAGAATACAAAAAACTTAAATTTAGCATGTAATTAAATAACTTTCATATGAAAAGAATTCCAGTCAGATTGTTTAACCAGAAAGAAACATATAAGAGGCCTGTTTGTTTGTTTGTTTTTAAATTGAGACAGTATCTCACTATGCAGTTCAGGCTGGCTTTCTGCTCACTTTGTAGCCCAGGCTGGTCTCGAACTCACAATAACCCTCCTACCTCTGCCTCCCAAGTGCTGGAAGTACAGGCATGTGTCACATGTCCTGGTTGTTTGGTTTTTTGAGACAGGGTCTCCTATGCAGTTCAGACTGACCTTGAACTTACTATGTAGCCCAGACTGTCCTTGAAGTGATCCTTCTGCCTTAGCCTCCTGAGTGCTGGGATTAGCAGGTGTGTGCCACCATGTAAGAGGCGATTTTGTAAATTGTACAGTTAAAATGTTAAAATTACAACTAAACAATTTTAGAAAGGGCCTAATTCATCCTAAGAATAAAGGCCACTAGCCTGAGTATTCTTAGTAATGTATGTGTTCAGTCAACTCTGAAATAGATTGACAGATTATCTCAATTGTAAGAAACTTGATTTTAATTATATAAATAAATGCATGAATAGACAGTTCTTATAAAAATATTAAAAACTACAGATAGGCTAAAATTGCTTATGACCACAACTTTTAAAATTCCCACCTTTTCTTCAAAATTTCCATAATCCACTTTGATTATACCTTTTCAAATCTTGTCTATGTGTGTGTGTGTGTGTGTGTGTGTGAGAGAGAGAGAGAGAGAGAGAGAGAGAGAGAGAGAGAGAGAAAGGGAGAGAGAGGGAGAGAAGGAGAGAGGGAGAAAAAGAGAGAGAAGGATTGTGAACTCTATAGGAGATTTTAACTTTCACCTGCATGTGACTTTGTTTCTACTTCTGTTGGCTTTCTTGTTCCTCTTGTTGACTCTATGCTATCCAATGGGAGTTAAAAGAACTCCATCAGAGCTCAGCATTCTCAAATGAATTTTAAACAAAACACTTAATTATATCTTTATGTGTAGGTCACTGGTGGCTTCTCAGTTGTCTAGTTTTGAGGATTCTGTTTTTTATTTTAATTGTACCATGGCTTTGCTGTATTTAATCTTGCCCCCGGATTGGATCCTATTTTTCTTATCTCTGATCATCATTGCCCTCTTTTTGCTACTCCTGAATTGTATCTTATGCTGCTGTTATGATTTGTGTTCAGATTCCCCGCCCTCCTCAAGCCTCATGCAGTTACAGACGTGGCCGAGTTTGGCATTTGTGATTGGTTTGTTGCCTGGCGGTAGGATTGATGTGAGTGCTGCAGCTGCCCAAGGGTGGAGCCAGCATTCAGTGTAAGGCG